TCTTAGACCACGTGCCTGCGCAGCAGCAGCATAACCTTCAAGTCCAAACTAATGCATGAAACTCCATTTCAAGGTGGGATAGGAAGTCAGCAGTGTGGGAGACCCCGTATTCTCCAACCTTAGTATGCTTTTCCAGGAAAGGCCTGAAGTGGGTGACTTATTAATGAGAATAATTCTCCATAGGCTTAATTGGCAAGGTAGAAAACTTCATGAACCAGAAAGGATTCTTGCTTTCTTCCCTTTCTGCTCTAAAAGGGGATGGATCACATCTTTGAAAAGTTGTTCCTGTGTGGGTTTTGTTGTTGTTCTATATTTATATAAATAGATTGAGTAATAGCATATGTTCACTGATTCAAATCCAAATAAGTAATGGTTTTATTGTGGCACAGAAAGACTAGACTGCAGTAAAAAAGATGGACTGATGAATTACAACAACTTAGTTACTTGGGCCCTGCAAAAGCCATGTTTATAACTGCCGAAGGAAAAATACACACGTGATAGAGGTTTATGTTATCTATGAACTGCATACAAAGTAAATTTACAAAGGACCTAACACTTGACGACTTGTATAATTTAGGAGAGGAAGGTCTTATTCAGGGAGAAAACCCAAACAAGCTGAGAAAACAGCTGTAAGCTTTCTACTCCAAAGTAGGCATTAGAGATTGTTTTTGCTCCATTGTGCAGTTTGAAAAATATAAGATGAGAACTTGATGAACTACTCAAAGCGGAGACATCAACTATACAGCCATGTACGGAAAGCATCTTCATGCCTCTAGAATTCCTGTTCTCTGCCATGTTACTGCTAATGTGAGCGTGGAGGGAGAGTGAGCGTCCCGCTCTCAGCTCTAGTCTTTTTTATATAGTAGTTGAACCTCAATTTGAAGGGATATTTGGGTCTGACATCTAACCTGTGGCTTTTGCTAGGCAGTCCCAACTTTCCAAAGTGTGTATTAATGATTAGCATTAATGATTCAGTTAATTTAACGCTTTTGCAAAACTCTACTTATCTTAAAATTATAACAGCTTTGATATTCAGTTAATTGAATGTGCACATGGAAAATTAACTTCAGACTGTTTAAAGCCAGGTTAAGTAGACGTAGAACTTTTTCAAGGAAAGCAGTTTGCTTTACCCTTGTACTGTTGTTAGGTAATTGGAAGCATGGAAGCATAGGACCAGATGGATTTCTTTTTAAACGTCCTGCATAGTTAAGGCAGTTTTAGTATTATATTTCTCAGAAATACTTAATTCAAGCATTAGAATATCATCTAATTGAATTTCCTAATTTTTATAGGTAAAACAACTAATATAAAGAGAGATTCAAAAAAGACTGGTTTAAGACCAGGGCAGTGGTCCAGCAGTAAATGTGGAGTAGAATCTAGTGTTTTGAGATTAATAAAAAATTTTAAAAATAGAAGATATATTACAAAGATTTGTAGTAAGCTCAATGATAATTTCTTTTAATATGGTTACCTTCAAATAACCTATAAAATATTTTGTATTACATTTAAAGCAGATCATTTAAATGTAAGTCATTCACATTTTTAAAGTTTATTTAAAAGTGGTATATGATTTTTATTGACATACTTCAAATGGCTTTTAAAATTCAGTGGATATGTATGGATAGAAGTTTCAGATTTCTTAGTCATTTGATCAGTTATCAATTAAACTCAGGAACCTGAAAGGAATTTTAAAGTAGTTTGTTTCATTTTCTTAATAGCATATAGTGGAACAACTTTTATTACCTATAATAAGGAGTAGAGTGGCAAGGCATCATTATAAATACTGAAGCTGGAGATTTATTGGGATTATTGTAACAGAGTTCTTGAATATAAGTCATGACATCAAGAGTACCCCGTTGATGAACTAAACCAGTATAGAGGGCGAGGAACATATTCGATAAAAACAGAAAACTGAGAGCTGGTTTCTTCCACGTTTTCAGGTGGTTTAGTGAGTACCCTGTAGGAAGATAAACATGTTGAACCATAATACTGGCATTCTTGTTTTAGGATAGCTAAGTAAATGTTAACTGCAAATACATTTGTAATCTTTAATGGAAGTAGCACAAACTGAAATGGTGTCATGGAGAAACAAGAAATAAGCAATAGGTATCTTTATAATTTCTCTAACCATTCACTGTCATTGTCCTCAGGTCTTTACCTTTTTCTAGAAAAAAGAAGGATAGTGGAAAAAGAATGGCGAGGGAGTCCAACAAACCCAAATTTGAATTCTAACTCTGGCACAGGTTGCTTTCTTTACTTTGCTGAGCGTTACTTTCCCAATCTGCAAATGGGATAACAGTAACTTTTCCAAGTATTAGAAAAAACTTAACATCCCGTGCTTGTCCTGGTACATAGTAGTTCATTTATCTGTCTCTTCTCTTTAATCTCCCAAGCACTAGCAATGGATGGTGTACATATAAGTCTCCATAATTCTGGAGGAAGTGTGGCAGAGTGTCCTCTTAGAAAAATACACCACTGAGAGATTTTCAGTAGTTAGCCATGCCACCATTTCTGAAAGAAGCATGTCTTGTCTTTCACTACAGTGTTGGGCAATTTGGAGATGCTGAACAATTTCTTTTTTAATTTGTAAAAGTAATTCTTGCATGTGGCAAAAAAAAAAAACAAGCAGAACAAATAGAGTAATTGAAAAGTAAAAGTTCCCGCCCCCTTCCCATAGTCCTCCTCCCCTGCAGTAGTCACTGATAATGAGCAAATAAGGATCTGTTGAAAATACCCATAAAAAGCAGCCCTTTGCATTGGAAAAGAATAAGCTTATTAATGAACTTGACGTTTGTTCATACTCCACATGTACTGTCTCCAGATAATTGTTCTTTTGGAATTTGAGTATCCAGGATCCAGTCTGTGGCCTGCCTGAAGTTTTAGCACTAATTCCCACTGGGGCCAAGGTACTGTTTTCCATGATCATCACCTAACTGACTGCTATCAGCTGTCTTAGCTTGGTTCAATCACTGAAAATAATTGAACATGAATAAAATTAATTTTGAACTGTTCCCGTTTAAGGACACTAAACATAAAGTTGGCCTAGGAGGGACTGTTTCAAAAACAGGAGTAAATTAAGACCTGTAATTTACTTGAATCACATCTAGTACTTCACATTAACTGAAGACACTCATTCTTTCAACTTACCATTGTCGTAAATTAAAAAGACAGTATGAACATTCAGTTTAGGAAAAACTGGATACCTTTTGTTGTACACTTAAATGTATCTTAATTAGGTATGGTGCCTTTACAGCTCTTTGATCTGTCTTCACTGTTTTGAAGATTATAAAAATATATTGTATATAAATAATATATAATAATTGAAAATTTAGCTATTGAAAATAATAAAATATTTCATCTATTCCAAGACATCTGAAACCTGCCACTTGATAGCTGAACCAAATTTGGCTAAGAAATCTTACATGCTCAATTTCGTTCCTCCAGGAAATGTTTTAGATAACATTACCTATAGTTCATTCTATTCATTTGTTGGAATATCACACATCCCTCTCGCTTACTACTACTTGAAGTAGCTGATTAGCCAAAACACATTCTAAAAAGTAGTGTGATAAATGTAGGAAGATCAAGAAAACTAAACTTACATTTAAAATATATATATAAATTTATGTTTGCAGTAGCAAAATGAGGAACCTACTAAAAGTTTGAGAACTAGAATTAGCTTTATTAGAATGGAAATAGAATTCCAGAAGTTCTCTTATTTGTAATATCCAGTCACAGAACTAATAGACCAGCAAGCTTAAAAGCTGTGCTTTCTTGAGTAGACAGGAAGAAATCCCCAAATATACCCTGTGGCCTCAGATTGCAAAAAGCTACATTAAAGCCTATCCTGGCAAGCACTATAGAAGACAACTTGCCCTCAGGAATATTCAAATGAAGTGTAACTTGGACATGTGTGAAATGTTCACTCATCAACAGTCTGTTCACTCACTAAATGTTCCTTGAAAGCTTTTCGAAAAACGGGCATTAGGGATACAATGGTATGGTGACTGATCTAAAACTGGAGTGCATGGTGGTGAATGCTGTAAAAATGGCATTTTGGGTAGAATGTTGGAAGAAAATGTGCTTGTATTTCCAGCTGCTTTAGTACGGAGAAGAGTCATAAGTCAGCTAATGCTTATATTTCATATTGTCTTTGTTGTGATATTAGGATGGATCCTTTCAGAGAGAACTGAATCTCCCTATTATTTGGGAAAAAATATACAGAAAATGTTGGGAAGAGAAGGAAAGAAGGAACAGCTGAACAGACCTGGATTTGAATATTCCCAGGGTTTTCAAACTATCTGACATTGAACATTCTCAAGGGGATTTCAGAAACTGGAGTTGTTAAAAATTAACAGTTACAGTTCTAGTCTGCACCACAAGAGAAGCTTAGGATTCAGTTTTCTTACAGGGAAGCAGTATGATTTCTTCAGTATTTAAAAAAAGGTAACAAGATCCTAGTAGCTGCTGTCTAGTAAGTCTATGTAACTGTACGTACAAATAATAATGGAGTACTCACTGAAAGGATCCACCCTAAAATGAGCTTGCTTCAGAATGGGATAGTCAGCACAATGTAATGTAAGCATTATATAACCTGAAATGTGAGACCCCTCTCCCAATTACTGAAGATTCTGCGAACACAAGCTTTCTTCTGTAAACCACTTAGAGAAATCTTTCAGCCTCTCTTAATTTCCATGAGAATAAAGACTTAGTATGAACACGGGTGACTACTTGTCCGAATCTAAATTCATTCCTTCATTTCACATACAGTAGTCCCCCCTTCTCTGTGGGGGATACATTCCAAGACCCCTAGGGATGCCTAAAACTGCCAGTAGTACAGAACGCTATACTCTGTTGTTGTTGTTTTTTTAATATTTATTTATTTGACAGAGACTGAGAGAAAGAACACAAGCAGGCGGGCACGGGAGAGGGAGAAGCAGGCTTCCCGCCAAGCAGGGAACCTGATGCGGGGCTCAATCCCAGGACCCTGGGATCATGACCTGAGCCAAAGGCAGAAGCTTAACGACTGAGCCACTCAGGCGTCCCTATACTCTTTCCTATATATACCTATGATGAAGTTTAACTTACAAATTAGGCATGGCAAGAGATTAATAATAACAACTAATAGTAAAATACAACTGTAACAGTATACTGTAATAAAAGTTGCATGAATGTGGTCACAAAATTTCTTATACTGTAGCCATCTTCCTTGTGATATGAGATGGTAAAATACCTATGTGATATGAAGTATGGTAAATGATGTAGGCATTGTGATGTAGTGTTAGGCTACTACTGACCTGAGGATAGGTCAGAAAGGGGATCATCTGCTTCTGGATCGTGGTTGGCACAGGTTACTAAAATTGTGGAAAGTGAGTAGTGAATAAGGGCATGCTACCATAGTAACTCTTTCTAACTCAATGCTAAATAACATTCCAGAATTTTTAATTTGCTCCTGTTATCTATGCCAACAAAAAGATACATAAAAGAGGAAGTTGTAAGAATTTATAAGACTGATAGTTATCTCTGGGAAATGGAGCTAGATGATTAGAGAATGACACTATAGGGTTTTTTCTTTTTGTACCATGAGTTTATAATAAACACACTGGGTTCTTATCCAATCACTATCATCAAACCACTGTTACAGTTTTAAATCCATTATGTCCCAGCTGACTACTCTCCAGGATAAAATCTAAAAACTTGAGTATATAAGGCCCTGCATGAGCTGGTTCCTTCTTTATTCAGCCTTATCTCCTAACCATCATATGATTTATCTTGATACACACAGTTACTTTTTAAGTTTTGGATACTTTGTGTTACAATCTATTGTTCTGCAAGGACTGATGAATTCCTTCTTACCAAGGTAAGGTTCATTGGAATGGAGGGGATGAGAAAGTCAGGGACCATTCATTACTGATCCCATCAAACAAAGGGGTAGGAAGGATGCACCCTTGTTTTGACAAGACAATAGAAAACCCAATCTAAAAGCCCACGAAAAAGATCTCTACCAAGTTCTACCAATCAGAGATGTTTCTCTGGGAAAGCTGTTCAGTTAACTTAAATTCAGTGTTTACATGAAAAAAACAAAAAGTGGTTTAATTCTGTGATGGAACATACAGGTGAATGGGCCTGGGAAAGAGAGACGTAATTAAGAACAATAAGGAGAATACTGGGCACAGAGGTATCAGGAAGAATTTTATGTTGCTACTTTGCTAAGGAAATAAAGCTATTTTCATATAAGTCCTAAGTAATGCCAAAAACAAAGATGTTTAAGGGCATTATTAGCATTTTATGTAAAGAGATAAATTATCAAAATAACCACCTGAAAGAGCATAAGTGCCTCTGAAGAGGGGAATTGGGAGGGAGGGCTGGGAACCATTGTTTTTTAAAACTTATGGAATGGCTTTTGAAACAACATGCATGTGCAGTTTTGATAAAAACAATTAGCATATGGAGAAACAGAGACAATCAAGTCTGTTGGCCACTGTGGTTAAAGCAGATGAAGCAGATACCCAACCTAGAATTAGTAGCAGGTGTCGGAAACCTCATCAACAAATGACAGAGGTTCAATTAAAAATTTCAATGTTACTAGACCACCGGCACCTTGCTTTTACAGATAAGGAAACCAAGGTACAAGGTTATACAGTTCACTAAGGATCAGAGCCAGTTACAGAAGGTATGTTTTCCAGAGTTAGTCCTATTCTGGATAGAACTGAGGGAAATTCAAATTAGGCAAGAGAAGTTACTGTAGATTGAAAAAATGGCTGCAATTATCCCTCTTCATGTGCCTAATCCCTAGCTGAGCCTGAAGTTTCTCATCTTTTGAATCTGGCTTGGCTTTGCGACTTGCTTTGACCAAAAGAATGTGGCGGAAGTGACAGTGAGCCAACTACAGACATAGTAAGTTTTAAGCCACTGAGTTTTAAGGTGGCGGTTACACAGAATTTGCTGATAGAGTTGTGTTTATATAAAAATCAGGTTAAAATAGGTCATAAAAGAATAAAAACAGATTTGAGGTACAGTATAATTCATGTAATTAGAAAAGACACAAACTGGGCCATTTAAAACAACTCCGAAGAGAACTCTTGTCTGACATTGTTCCTGAACATCCAAAGACTAATGTCAGGTGAGCTCACTACTGACTCTTAGTGGGAATACAAGTCTCCTAGGAATAGAATCTTCAGGTCCAATTCAAGGACCTTAGGTAGATGTGTCCAAAGGAGGGATCACATCCGCTGAGAAGATGAGGGGATTTGCTAGTTCCCAGTCCTTTAGGGATCCTTCTGAGTGGACAGAGGATGGAACAAAGGCTGATTCTTGTTCATTAGAAGGGGATCCTCTTCAACCCTCATCAGCATTTTATCTCAATCTTTGAGATTGGAAACAGGTTATCAAGAACCTGCCACTTAAAAGATTCATTCTTTTGGACTGGGAATGAGAATTCAGACAACCCAGTCTTTCTCTAAAACATTCTGTAAACACACAGCACAGAAATGGAATGCTAGAAAACCTCAAATTATAAAAATGGAATGAAACCAAGCTCCTAAACTAACCAAACAACATACACAAATATTTGACTTCCAGTATAGCAACACATCTGGGCAGAAACCAGACTTGATTTAATTATAACTCCAACTCAAGTGGCTGTAAAGAAAAATTTTAAATCTGAATAGTGATTTATGAACAGATTTGCAGATTTGCTCTGGTGAATGGGCCCACTATTCTTAAGACTTGCCACATAGCTGTTAGATGCCTCTATTTTGTGCCTGCATCTATATATGAAGTGAGACTATAATGACTCAAATGAACTTTGGTTTCAACACTTCAGATGTATCAAATATTTAGATGTCTGTGTGTATATATACATATAAAATTACATGTGTATATATAGAAATTATATATGTGTTTATATATATATAAATTATGTTCGTATCTCAACTGAAGAGAGTATATCTGAGATCTGTAGGAGATGATGTATACTTGGTCAAAGGTGACTGCTTAACTCAGTGAGTTGTTTGTTTTTTAAGTCAAAAGTTTGATATCATTAACCCCCTAGTTTTTCCCAGCCTCCAAGTCTCAGTTGTATACTTATTTCTTCCCTCCCCAGTCCAGTGATTTTTTTTTTTTTAGTGATTAATATTTGAGGGAAGCCAAGTCATTTAGTCTGGATTAAACCTGAAGTTAATAAAGTTTCAGTTCATAGTTTTTCCAAACCAACCAATGTAAAAATTCACATTTTCCAGAGTTGAGTACTATAAGGCTTTGTAGAAATCACATGTAAAAAAATTACCGCAAAAGACCTAGTGGAAAATTGGAGAAAAGGCCAAAAATAAAATCAGAGGTGTGGGTCACTTTAAAAATTGCATATGCATTAGAGTGAGTCTTAAAGGGTTACATGTGTATGAAGAAGCATTAAAAAGTAGTTTCAACAGCTATATACTTTTCACTTGTGGAATGAAGAATTTCATAGTTTAATCATAAACTTAAAATGCTATTCTAAAATAGACATATTCCATTACTTTAGCATGGAAGATTCCTACTAGCCAGAAACACCACCACCCAAAGGTCCTTTGGATATTAAGTCCTTATGTTTTTATATCACATTATAGGACATAGGAAAAAGTATATTTAGGCTGCAAAAGGAATTATTATAGTATTATATATATATATAATATATATAGTATTATAGTATTATAACTTGTAATTAAGAAGCATTTTCATTTAGCTTAGTTGAAAACAAATATTTTAGTGTTTCAGGAAAATTTATTGTTTTAACTATTTCTACATAAATACAATTTTTTCTATATTAAATAAAAATACTTACCACAAAACACCATACAAAATGGTAAAACTGGATAGATAAATCTGAATTCTTTGTGGCTCAACATGCTATAACAAAAAAAGATATTAAGAGAATTACATGACAGTTTGAGAAATAAATATATTTAAAAATGAAATATAATAGCAATCTGTTTTTCTAAATACTGAGACTGAATTTCATGCTTCAGGATGCAATCTCATTATTTTTTAGTTATACGGTGATGATGTGTTAAAAGTAATCCTAATATTTGATGTCAAAGTGAGATTCTAAAGTACAACTACATTCTAAAAAAGATTTCTGTTACCAATCCAATTAAGTCCTATTACTCAAATTTGGAATAAAGATACTTATTATATATATATTATATATTATATAATATATATATTTTCATTTAAAAATATAATTTCTCATCCTTCAATACTTAAAATTTTGGTAGTTTTAGTTTTTAAAAGCAAATAAAATTTTTTCAACTCCTTAAAAATTGAATGTAATCCTTGTCAAGCAAACTATACATATCAGAAGTATTCATTCTGAGCATCAGCACAATTATTACCTTTTCTGTCTGCTAAATACTCCCCACTAACAAATCATAAGAGTTAATACATGTCCAGAAAAACAGTTTACTTTCTGAAGAATTTAAATTCTTGGTAACATTAAAAAAACAATTATTTGAACAAATAAAATCTTACCTATAAACTAGCAGTGTCCACAGCACAGTTACCAAAAGTATTCGGTACCTCCTTGGGGCCAGAAAGCAGCCATGAATAAAGAAGGGTAAGTGAGTCCCCAAAACAGCTGGAAATCCTTGACTGAAGTACCAGTGCCATGGATGAGAACCATAAAATGTTCCCAAATTCTGAAGCACATTGAATTTCAAGAAGTTATACTGAACCAGGGTCCACTGGCATAGTTGATGGAAAAAGAAATAGAAATGTATTAGTGCCAAGTATGAATCTTTGGCATTAGGGAATTTGGCAGAATCTTGAATGAAGTCTAAAAACCAAACAATACTTTATATTAATAATTTTGATTAATAACCACATTAAATCATTCTTTATTCATTTTAATGTTCTACGTTTTAATGTGTTCTGTTAATTTGTAAAAAACTAGGTTTCTGTAATTCAAGAAAACATGAATAAACGTTTGTATGTATTTTGACAATGTAAGTTTTACAAGCAGTAAGAGAGAAAGAAGATCCTCAAAAATAGTTTTTATATGAGTATGTGTGTTACCCATATTAAAAACTTTAGTACCTTATATATCACACATTAAAATAAAGCCTTGAGAACACTACCTTTTGAATTGTTGCACAAAGCAGATAATAACAGCAACAACAGCAGTTAACAGTAAGTGCTCATTTCTGCCATGCACTATTGTAAGCATTTACATGCATTATCTCATTTAATCCTTCAACCTTATGAAACAGGTACCACAGTTATTTCCAGTTAAGGAAACTGGCAAGAAAGGCACATAACTTATCCAAGGTCACATAGCTAATAATGAAGGTACTAGGTTTCAAATTCTGGCAATCTGATTCCAGAGCCCCTAACTTACTTAAAATCAGTGAACTTAAAAACAACCAACGGCCATTACCAACAGTCATGACATTAAAATGTCAAATCAAATGCCTGAAGAGAGTATTCTGATTGATTTGAAATTCTGAATGATTTGAGGTCAATTAAATTAAAAATTTAACCTTTGTTACAAACCTGACTAAATTGTACAAACTTGACAAAAATGCCATAAAATGGACTCCTTTTAACTTCAACTATGAATATACAATTCTGTTTTATAGAAAACACAGCAAATAGAATGAAAGGCATATGCCAACAGTTTTTTTTTAATGTATCCCATACAATTTTTTAAAAAGTGATTTGCCTGCATTCCAAAATATTCACAGGATTAATAGGTCAGGTTGAGTTTTTAGTGTAATAAATGTGTAATAAATGGTTAGATTAAAAATAGCTGTTAGCTTAATATATTTTTACTTACTTGACCAAAAAAAATACGATCAATTATAAGAGACAAACTCAAATTGACAAATCTGAAAAACAAAACAGAAGGGTGATTAACATTCTGAACTTACTGAAAATCCAATACTGGCATATGGCTTTGCAAATGCTTGGCATCAAAAGTCAGTTTAAAAATGCCTTACAATTTTGCCAACTGAATATGGATTTACACGTTGAAAGATCTTTCACTGACAGATGCTGTATTTAAGGAAAGTTTCTAAAAGTAATAAACACTGCATTATCTATTGCTGCACAACAAATTACCCTAAACATTGGCAACTTAAAACTATGAACATTTATTATCTCATCATTCTGTGGGTCAGTAATCCAAGTGGAGCTTAGCTGGGTGTCTCTGGGTCAAAGCCTCTCATGAACTGTCAAAATGTTGGCTGGGGCTACAGTTTCATCTGAAGGCTTGACTGGTGCTAGTTGGGAAATCTGCTTCCAAGCTCACTCAACATGGCTGTTGGCAGGGCTCAGTCTCCCAAAAGAGACCTTTTTTTTTTTTAAAGATGACCTCCTGAGACTGGCATTCCCCAGGGTAGGTCAGCAAAGAGAGAGTAAGATGGGCATCTAACATGGATGCCATAGTCCTTTTATTACAGAGCATTAGCAGCACTTCAAAAAGCTCTTCTATCTTTCCAACCAATCTCCACTCCCTTCCTAAAGGTGACCATTATCCTGACTTCTGATAGTGTAGATGTTTTGCTTTTTACTGAATTTTAAAAAAATGAAATTACTCTGTAGTACTCATGTACAGTTTCCTTCAATCATGTTTGTGAGACTTAACCACTTTTTTGTACATTGCAGTAGTTCATTTATAATACTATATTCTAGTCCACTGAATTAATATGCCCCAGTGTATTCTGTTGATGGACACTGCTTTCCTTTTTTTAAGCTATTATGAAAAATTCTATGAACATTGTTTTATGCGCCTTTTGTTTCCCATATATATGTATGTACATTTCTGCTGAGTATATACCTAGGATTGAATTACTGGGCCCCAGGGTGTAAGTGCAATTAGCTTTAGTAAATTCTTACAGTTTTCCAAAGTGGTTGTATCAATTTATATTCCCACAGGAATATATAAAGGCTCTATATCCTTTCAGGCATTTGGGTGGATGTATACTAGAATGTCATGGTGGTTTTAATTTACATTTCCTTGGTGACTAATGAGGTGAGTATCTTTATACTTCTTGGCCATTTAAATATCTTTTGAAGTACCTGTTCAGGTCTTTTAATCAATTTTCTATTATCTTTTTCTTACAGATTTGTACAAGTTCTGTATATAATTGATAGACGGTTTTTCTTGGTGTTGTGTTTTGTACTGCAAATATCTTCTGGTCTGTGGCTTGCTTTTTCACTCTTAATGGTGAATCTGATGAACAAAAGTCTTGAATTTTAATGTATTCAAATGTATTTATCTTTTCCTTTATAGTTAATACTTACTACATTTTATTTAAGAAAGCTTTGCCTGCCTCGAGGTCATGAAGATATTCTATCATATCTTGAAGAAGTGCAACTCTTTTACCTTAAGATCTATAATGTCCTGGATTTTTATTTATTTTTTTGTTTATGGTGGCAAGTAGGGATCAATATTAATTTTTCCTCCCATATGGATATCCAGATAATTATATATTTATTGAAAAGACTATCCTTTCTCTACTGTACTGCCTTATCACTGTTACCAGAAATGAGTGACTTTATGTCTGAGTCTATTGCTGGACTATTGTGTCCCACCAGTCTATTTGTTTTACCTTGCACTGATTCTGAGTTGTCTTAATTACTGTAACTTTGTAATAAGTCTTAATATCTAGTAGTGTAAGTCATCCAACATTTCTTTCTCTATGATTCTTTTAGTTAATATTGGTCCACTTAAAAATTTAAAATCAGCTTTATCAGTTCATACACATACACGCCCCGTACTGGGCTTTAATTGGTCTGCACTGAATATGCAGATCACAGTTTGGGGAGAGCTGATATATCTAAAATATTGAATCTTTCATCCATGAACGTGATATACTCTTCCATTTATTTAGGTCTTCATTAGTTTCTCCCAATAATGTTTTATAGCTTCCTGGGTAGAGTTCTCATATATCTTTATTTTATTCATAGACATCTGATGTTTTTTGATGCCACCATAAATGGTATTTGTTTTCCTTTTAATTTTTTATTTTGACATAATTTCTGACTGAGAAAAGTTGCAAGGATAGTATAAAGAATTCCCATAAATCCTTCACCTAGATTCCCCAAATGTTAACATTTTACCATATTTGCTTTATCTTATTCTTTCTTTTTAAATTTGTATTTTTTTCTGAACTGTTTAATAAGTTGCAGACATCATTCACCTTTATCTCTATACTTCAGTGGGTATTTCCTAAAAAAATTCTCTTACATAAATCACAAATAATCAGAACCATGAAATATTAAATTTTTATGGCTATCTAATTTATACCTTGTTCAGATTCTACCAATTGTCCCAATAATGTCCTTTATACAAAGAAAAAAAACAACGCTGATTATTTGTTGTGTTCACTTGTTCTATCTCTGTAGTCTCCTTTAATCTAGAATATTTCCTTAATCTTTCCTTGTCATTCATGACTGGCATCTTTGAAGAATACAGGTCAGTTATTTTCTAGATTGTACCTCAATTTGGGTTTGTCTGATGTTTTTTCATGAATAGATTCAGGTTATGCATTACAGCAGTAATACCATAGAAGTGACAGGGTGTTTTCTCTGCTTTTGATCAGGTGTCTCATGATAGTGGTCTGTCCAATTACTGGCAATGTTAACTTTGATCCCTTTTTCTTTTTAAAATTATTTATTTTAAAAAGATTTTATTTTTAAGTAATCTCTACCCGATGTGGGGTTTGAACCCACAACACTGAGATCGAGCGTTGCATGCTCTGCCAACTGAGCCAGCCAGGCACCCCTGAACTTTGATCCCTTGATTAAGGAAATGTCTGTCAAGTTTTTCCACCGTAAAATTATTATTTTATCCTTTGTAATTAATATTTTATGGGGAGACACTTTGAGACTGTATAAATATCCTGTTATTCCTCAAACTTTTACGCACCAGTTTTAGTATCCAAATGAAATCAATATTTGTATATTCACCTTGTGTTTAGTGAACATGCTGAATTTATTTACTAATCCTAACAGTTTACCTCTAGATGCTTTTGGATTTTCTACATACAATCACATATAGTTTTCTTTCTTCCTTTCCAACCATTTGTTTTTCTTGCCTTACTGCACTAGCTAGGACATATATTGTTAAACAGCAGGGGAAATAATGAGCATCCATGTATCTTCCGTGATCACAGGGAAAAGGATTTCAGTGCTTCAATACTTAGTATGATTTTGCTATAACATTTTCTAGAAATCTTTGTCATATTAGTGAAATCCCCTTCTATTACACATTTTCTAATGGTTGTTCCCTCCTCTCCCATCATGAGTAGGTTTTTATCATGTGGCTTTTCTGTGTCTATTAAGATTGTCCTATGAATTTTCTCCTTTATTCTGTTATGTCATGAATCATACTGATTGATTTTAAAATACTAAACCTACTTCACATTCCTGAACTAAAACCAATCTTGGTTATGATGTATGTGTGTATGTATATATATATATATATATATATATATATATTTATTTTTTTTTTTTTTTTTTTTTTTTAAAGAGAGAGAGAGCGCGTATGTGCAAGTAGGGGGGAAGGGAGGGGCAGAGGGAAAGGGAGAGAATCATAAGCAGGCTCCACACCCAGCACGGGGCCTATCTCATGACCCTGATTTCATGACCCAAGCTGAAATCAAGAGTCAGATGCTTAATCAACTGAGCCACCCAGGCACCCCACTCTTTTTTAATTATATTGCTAGATTCAATTTGGTAAGATTTGTTTAAGAATTTTGCATTCATAGTCATGAGAGATACTGATTTATAATTGACTTTTCTTGTAACGTCCTTGTCAGATTTTGGGATCAAGGGTATGGTATCTTCATTAAAAGAGTTGGGAAATGTTATTCTTTTTCTATTCTGTGGAAAGTTTATGCGGATTGATGTTTCTTCTTCCTTAAACATATGGTAGCATTCACCAGTGAAGCCGTCTGAGCTTGGTGTTTCTTTGTTTAAAGTCCTTAATTACAAATTAACTTTAATATATATAGTACTATTCATATTTACTATTTCCTCTTTTGTCAGTTTTGGTAAGTTGTATTTTTCTAGGAATTTGTCCATTTCATCTAAGTTGTCAAATTTATTAGCAAAAGTTGTCCATAATATCCTCTTCTTATCTCCTGAATGCCTGTAAGATCTATAACGATGTCCTGTACTTTGTTTTGTCTTGCTAATAGTTGGTGAGAATGTGGCAGCTGAAAGGCAACTGAATTATGTTTGATTTTACAGAATGAATGACAAAATGATGTCCCAAATTCTCAAGGTCATGTAAAAGGCAAAGAGAAGTAGGTCCATACATATTGGAAATTTTCCTAAGACTAATGCAAGATTTTTCTCTATATTTAGAGATACTTTTCCTGTCTGGATATGCTACTGTTTTAATTTTTTTTTTCTTTTTTTTTTCTTTCTTTTTAAATAAATAGTCCTAGGTGCTAGAGATTTGGTGTTCCAGTCCCAGTTCTGACCCTAACCAGCCCAAAGACCTTGCAGGTATCATTTCCTTCTCTGAACTGCCAATGCCTCACATGTAAAGTGGGGTGATAGATGAATTTTGTGTTTTTTTAAAATAAACTCTACCCCCAACACGAAGCTTGAACTCACGACCCTGAGATCAAGTTGCATGCTCTACTAATGAGCCACAGGTGCCTGCAACTGGTTATTTTTAAAGGGTGTTTAATACATAAAAGGCTGTTGGCTGGGGCCAACTCAGTACACCAACACTTGAGAGTATAAGACTAATTAGGACGGTGAATCATATTTGTTATGAACTGTACAATTTCAAAGTATTTTCACATACATTATCTCATTTGTTTTCGTATATTTCCCTTCAAAATAAACAAGACAAGCATTTTGATTTATATGAATAGGCTCCTTCCCAGGCCTTTACAGGTTGAAGCATGCTGATTCCCTAGGTCTGGCAAACTCCTGTTCACTTTTGATATTATTTAAAACATCATCTACTTTATAAACCTTCTATTAATGTCTCCCCTGCAAGCAGAATTAGACTTTTTTTTAATTATCTGTTCTACAACATTTTGCTATATAACTACTTAGAACACTCTATATTGCTAATCAAGAATTACTGTTGTATCTCTTTCTCGCCCCCTACAGATTTTGACCTCGGGAATAGACACTGCATCTTACTCACTTCTGAATCATCAACTGCTTGATACAAAGCAGGCTAAATGTTTGTTGAATGAATAAACTATACATTGTATTGCAATGAAAAAAAAGGCTCTTTATCTCCCTGTGTAAAAGCCTACATAATCTGAGCCCTTGCTATCTCTCTGACCTCATTATCATATTCTCCCAAGTTCACTCTCCTTTAGCCATACCAGTCTCCTTGCTGTTCCTTGAATATGCCAAATACACCTTTATGTCAAGGTCTTTGCACTTGCTGGTCTCTTTGCCTGGAATATTCTTTCCTTATTGTCTCAAATCCTTTAGGTTTTGGCTCCAATGTTACCTTATCATGACAGTCTTTCCTAGTTACCCTACAAAATTCTATCCTTATCTCTCATTTTTCCCTATAGCATTTATCACTTGACAGATATATATTACTCCTATGTTTTTAGTTCTCTCTCTTCTCCCACTAGAATATAAACTTCATGAAGGCAGGGACTTTGTTAAGTTGCTATATCTCCAGCATCTGGAACAGTACCTGGCACATACTAGGGTTAAACAAATATTTGCTGAATGAATAATACATTAAAAATAATGTTAATAAATCTGAGAAATGACAACAGTGGCAACTTGGCAGAAGATGATTTAGCCCTTTTTAATTCCTAACCAAAAATACTCATACAGAGTGAATACTAGTATATTAAAAAGATTACTGTTCTAAGAATCAGAATGCATTCAGCCCTTCAATAAATAACTGTTTTGGATACTCTACTAGATACTTGGGATAAGTATGATCCTAGGAGCTCAAAATTAGAAGACATGGGTTTTTGTTTTGGTTTGGTTTCGTTTTTTTGCACAGGGGCCATGCTAATCTTTGTATTGTCCCAATTTTAATATATATGCTATTGAATTGAGCACAGAAGACATGGGTTTCAATACCAGTTCCATCAAAGCAACCAACCCAATGACTCTGGCTAACGCATGTTTAATTTCATCGAGTGCCCTCCACCCACCCACCCCTTTCCTTACTACAACTAAAAATACCTACATTGTCTAGATCCAAGAATTGTGAAAGTCATGAGGTAATATATAAATACACATTATGAATTATAAAGCCTTATACAAATGTAAAAGAATCAAGTATTTCTAAAATGTACTTGAGAAATAGGAAATGAAGTATAGAAAAGTTCTAAGTGAGAAAAGTTCCAAAGATCCCCATTTATGCAAATTAAAATAATTATAGTTAATAATCATAAATATAAAAATACAAAATATAAATTTGGAAATATTGTTTCCTTAGTCTGATAATTCTCATTGACATTAGAAGATATAATAATTGACTATGAAATGTAAAATCTTGTTCACAATCTATAATTTATAGGTTCTGGACATTAATAGATGGATTGTAGCCATACTTACCCTATAGGTAAAAACTGATGCAGAATAAGATCAAGCTTTTTCTGTTCTTGCCAGAAATGTCTGAAGACCAAAGGTATCCATGGAATGATAGCTGTGGGACGAATTATGAAGGCAAGTGCCACCAGGGACAAGTACTTGACACTATAAGTGAAGAAAATGTATTGTCAAGACAACTAGGAAATGAGTGTAGAAGTTATCTACTATTTATGCTGTGATACAACTTTTTTTTTTTTAAATGGGAGCATTTTCCTTTTGGTATAAATAGCTATGTGAAGTTGGGTAAGTTACTTATACTTTTTGACTCTTAATTTTTCTCCTCCATAAAAAGAGGGAATGTCTAACGTCTTTTTCAGCTCTAATATCCCAATTCTAGTATTTTAAATTCAGAACTTATTCTGTGTCTTAATGTTGGTCTTGTTTTGCCAAAAAGGTATACTAACTTAACTTTTGGCCATACAACTCTGCCAATTGCTTTCCTGATGGAAAAATTATCAAGTCTCTCCTAAAGAGATAAGAAAATTACACAAAACAATTCTCTAAGAAAAAAAGAATAAATGCATTTAAGGAAATATTAGGATTACTTAGGCAATGTTGGGCTTCCTAGTACATACAATTTTGTTTTGAAAGTAAGTGCTAATCTTATCCAAATGAAAGATCTATATGTATAATTGATAAAAAGCCTACCATACAAACCTCTAAGATCATGGATAGAAATGTGGATTTTTACTATTAGGACTTCTCTCAATAAATAACTAAAGAAGACTATAATAATTTAATCATGAGGACTACAGACAATAGATTATCACATGGAAATAGTGTTAGCCCTGCTAAAAATTGAAAGCAAGGAAAATAAAACTTTTTGGTACCATTATATATCTATTAACTAATTAGGAGCTATAGAGAAATTTCTAACGTTGGTGAGGATGTAAGAGCAGGGATTTCAAATTCAAATGCTTACAGAGACCACATAAGTAATAAAAATGAGTGATGTAGACCGTGGGGAGGCTCTGATATTGTCATGAAGGAATCTTGGCCCAAAATGGCTGGGCCTCTCATAAACTAGAAACCCAGATTTTATGTAAGATCTCCCAATTTTAAAACTTTGCCAAGTAGTTTCTTCAAAAAACAAAAACAAAAACACTTATGCAGGTGAAATAAAACACATTCATAGGTTGGTTTGATTTGCACGCATCCTAATTGCTACTTCTGCTATAGTCAAACTACTGAGAGGACACCCAAGTGTATACTTCCAGTCCTGACCTCACTCCAAACTTTCAGACTTGGATATCTTACTCTTTTCTGAATATTTCTACATAGATCTCTATTGGCACTCAAAATCAAAGCACCTGAAATGAGCCCAAAACCTTCCCTGAAACCTGTTCAGTGTCTAATATTTAATAGCATCACTCAGTTTCTCAGTCTTAAAATTTGAGAGTCCCTTAAATAGCAGCATCTCACCCCACACATCCACCTTGTTTCCTTCCCATTCCCATCATTTTACATTAAGCCCTGTCACTTGTCTGGAATATTTTCATAGTTGCTGTCTTCTTTTTTTTGTATTGCCCCCCAAATATTCCTTTAGTTAATATCATTGTCATTAACAACACTTACTGAGCATTTACTTTGTAAGAGGCCCTGCGCTATACACTTTATATAGGTTCTCATTTAATTCTGAGAGATGTTTTACTGTTACCATTTTACAGAAATCAATGCTTAGATATTCTCAGTCCATCCTTAAAGAAAACTTTCATTTATAAAATTTGCATTTTTAAAGGAGTTTGCAAAATGTCGTATATTCTAAAGCCAGGAATAGTACCTGTCATGCTTATCGGGGAAGAATGCTTTTACAGCAGTCGCCTGTGCTACATGACCCTCTCTTCTTGAACCCAGGCAGCCAGTCTTAAGTCTGGCCAGCGTGAAACTATAGGGATAATGACATTTAATAGACCTAATCAGATTTGATCAAATTGAATGCGAGATAGAGAAAGCTGGACAATTGGTAGTGAGGACAGAAATGGAGACTAGCTAAGCCTTAAAATTAGACAAAACAGATTCACAGGCTGGGCTATAAAGGAACAACAGAACAGACTTTTCCTCAAAACTGCCATAATTCATTCAATTTCATTTATGTGGCTGAGATATTCTATAATTTTCTTCCAGGCCTGGCCACAAGCTCCCTCTTTTCCTTATATTTACTTTCAGCCTTATAATAAAGCTCTCATCATATAAGTAAACTTAAGTGAATGCCTATTTTTGCAGTCAGGAGTCTAATGCAGAAATGATCTTATTGGGATTTGATTCTCCCAACAATCTTTTTATATAGGAAGAATGGATAGTAGCTTCTCAACTAGACCAAATTCTGGCTTTCTCCCTCATTATATCCTAAATACTGGTACTGCAAGAGAATTCTTTCTAAATCAGATTTGATTATGTCATGCTTTCAAAAGCCTGCAATGGTTCCCTTCAACCTACAGAATAAAGTCCAAATTCTGGAGAAGGGCAAAGTCCCATTCCAGCATCATCCCTTATTCTTCCCTTCTCCCATGCTTCCGACCACGTGTGTGGTAGGATGGACAACCTGCCCACAACAAAATGAAGCCCTTTTACAGCTCTGTGTTTTTGCTCATATTGGTGGTTCCATTTGCTTGGTATTTGCTTCCCCAGTTTATATAAGCCCAAATCTGGTCCACATATTTTCTTTAACTTACTTTTTACAAGTGAAGTATAGTTGATATATACAGTATTGTTTTTAGTTTCAAGGGTACAATATAGTGACTTGACATTCATATACATTACAAAATGCTCACCACAAAAAGGGTAGTTATCTGTTACCATACGGAGTTATTACAACATTACTGACTGTATTCCCAATCCTATACTTTATATCCTCATGACTTATTTTATAAATGGTAGTTTGTACCGCATAAACCCCTTCATCTGTTCTCCCCATCCAACCCATCCATCCTCCCATCTGGCAACCATCAGTTTGTTCCCTGTATTTGTGAGTCTGTTTCTGTTAAGTTTATTCATTTGTTTTGTTTTTTGGATTCCACTTTTAAGTGAAATTGTATAGTATTTATCTTTCTCCATCTGACTTATCTCACTAATACCCTCTAGGTCCATCCATGTTGTTGCAAATGGCAAGATTTCATTCTTTTTATGGCCCAAGTAATAGTCCAGTGTGTGTGTGTGTGTGTGTGTGTGTGTGCGTGTGTGTGTGTGTGTGTATGCCAAACCTTCTTTATCTGTTCATCTTTCGATGGATACTTAGGTTGCTTCTGTATCTTGCCTATTGTAAATAATGCTGCAGTAAACATAGGAGTTCGTATTACTGTTTGCATTTTCTTTGGATAAATACCCAGACATGGAATTGCTGGATCATATATATGGTATTTCTATTTTTAATTTTTGGAGGAACTTCTGTACTGTTATTCACAGTAGCTGCACAAATTTACATTCCTACGAATAGTGCATGAGGGTTACTTTTTCTCCACATCCAAGCCAATACTTGTTATTTTCTGTCTGTTTGGTAATAGCCATACTGACAGGTGTGAGATATCTCATTTTGGTTTTGATTTGCATTTCCCTGATGATTAGTGATGTTGAGCATGTTTTCATGTGTCTGTTGGCCGTCTGTAGGTCTTCTTTGGAAAAATGTCTACTTAGGTCTTCTGCCCATTTTTTAATTTTATTTTTTTTAATTGCATGAGTTCTTTATGTATTTTGGATATTAACCCCTTACTGGATATATCATTTGCAAATATCTTCTCCCATTCAGTAGTTTGCCTTTACATTTTGTTGATGGTTTTCTTTGCTGTGCTGTTCATATAGTCCCAACAGTTTATTTTTGTTTTTGTTGCCTTTGCCTGGGGAGACAGATCTAAAAAAATGTTGCTAAAACTGATATCCAAGAGTTTACCACTTGTTTTAGGAGTTTTGTGGTTTCAGGTCTTACATTCAGGTCTTTAAGTTTATTCTTTGTATATGGGTCGATAAAGTAGTAGTCTTTTCCATCTAACTATCCAGTTTACCCAACACCATTTATTAGAAAGACTGTCTTTTCCCCATTGTATATTCTTGCCTAGCTTTGTTATAGGTTAATTGACCATAGAAGTGTAGATTTGGGGTCCCTGGGTGGCTCCGTTAGTTAAGTATCTACCTGCAACTCAGGTCATGATCTCAGGGTTCTGAGATCGAGCCCCACATGGGGCTCCCTGCTCAGTGGGGAGTCTGCTTCTCCCCATCTGTCCCTCCTGCTCATGCTCACTCTTTCTCAAATAAATAAATAAAATCTTTTTTTAAAAAAAAGAAGTGTGGGTTTACTTTTGGGCTCTCTATTGTTCCACTGATCCATGTGTTTATTTTCGTGCCAGTACCATACTTTTTTGATTACTATAGCTTTGTAGTATAATTTGAAATCTGGGAGTGTGATACTACCTGCTTTGTTCTTTTTAAAGATTGTTTTGGCTATTCAGGTTTGTTTGTTTGTTTGTTTGTTT